AATTTAGTTGTGTGTGTGTGTGTGTGTGTGTGTATGTGTGTGTGTGTGTGTGTCAAAATAAAGAATAGGATAAACAAAGAAATGCCTACTTGTATATAACATTTATTTCTGATCATTTCTGTTTTTCTAAATTAACATCATTTTTCTCGCAAGATATGATTTTGAAATTTTTTAACTTTTCATCCAATACTTTCTTTATTTTGGTGGAATATTCAAATTGAAAAAGTTTAAAATCACATCTTTACTAGAAATTAGAAATAGATTAATTTGAAAAAGTAGAAGCAATAAAAAATGATTGCTTGATATTTTTAATATATTAAAATATCAGATATTTAAATACTCTGTCATATCAGATAGACATGTCAAATTATGACTATACAACTGTTTGCTTGTAATATGAGATAACAACAAAAAAATAAATAAGCATTAGTATTAGCTTGTAACGTGAGAAAAGAGAGATTGTTTAACTATATATGACAATCAAAAGATTAAGCAACATTTAATAACATGAATATATTGCAACATTATACATTGTGGCATATAGTAATCTCCCCATCCTTACGTCACTTTTTCATATATCACAAATCTCTGGTAATCTCTGTTAATCTCTGGAAATCAACAAAAAGATGTACCTCTTGAGTGAGATCTGCATCAGTTGGCTGTGCTGGACTCTGAGTGGAATTTGGTGGATCAGGAGACGTCACGTTCCTGGTTGAGTTGGTTGAAACTGGCACGCTGGGACCTGGCTCTTCTGCAGCTCTATTAGACTCATCGACATTCAGCAAATAGGCATGTATGGCATTGAGGCCAGAATTCATTCTGTTATATCTCCCCAATGAATTCAGTTCCTCGAACAAATCTCTTTGGTAGTTCAGCAGCATGGAGTCTGGATTCTTCGGATGGATAAACGTCGGACGGTGGACTATCGTATGATCCGTGTGCCATCCGGAGCCGCTGCGGAGATCCAGGGATCCCATGCCAATGGTCTGAATATCCAGGCCCAGATAGTATTCCGGATCCACACGTAGCAGAGACAACAATAATGCGAGCTGCAACAGCTCCTCCCGGTACAGCTTCTTCATGCACAACATCTTGCCGATGAATGGACAGATCAGCTCGACACAAAAGCAGAGAGATAGTTCGGATCTTGACGCTTTGTCACACTAGCTCACAGTCCTTGTCAAGTGTAAATAACAGAAGCGACTCGGCATCATGAGGAGGCGAGGCGATTCCACAGGACGTCCGTTGACATCGCGTCGAGGCAACACAGAGAATCGAAATCCTCTCGAAGGCGCCACGCGGCGAATACACCGTTTACGCGACGAAATCCATCACGGGGGTCGCGTGCTCCGTATTTTAAGGTTAGAGTATACAGCTCGCTCGGCAAGACGCTGGATCTGTCGGTTTCAATTTCTCGTGCGAGGCACGAAGGAGACGACTCGTCGCTCGGAGCGCCGGAGTGAAAATAAAAGAGCCGCGGTTTTCCCAGGCAGCGGTGTAGGTCAGTTACACTGGACCGAAATAACCTCAAAATCGCGCACGAGTCGCTGATGAGCCACTGCGGTGCAGCCGCGCGCGCATCGCTCACGCATGCCTCGCGGACACTCCTCTGACAGGCGGCTGGCTGCTCTGCAACTCCTTATCGTCGGCGGTACACTCGGGCACTATTGGAATCGCGCTGACAGCGTGGTGGCGCGAGACGCATCGAGAAACGCTTACACGCGCGCGGATCAGCTGCGAGCGAAAAAGTCGGAAGCGGCGAGACAGACAGGTCCTCGCGATTGACAGATCCCCGCGTAGGCGCGCGCGTGTCCGCATACGTGTGCATACGTGTGTATATGTGTGTGTGTAACGTGAATGTGTGTTGATTTTGGACACGCGACGTGTCCCAGCGCGCGAAAGGGATCTACGGACACAGCGGACGATTTGAAATTCCGGATTTGCGCATAGTTCGCGGACGAGCGTTGTGCCGCGTTTCGCTATTTTACGCGGTGACGCTCGAGCCTCGCGCGACGATGAGACAACACTTTTGCCGCACGACACTTTTGCCCGACATGGAGTTCGTTACGCGCGGAGAAACCGATGAAACGGACGCGAAACGGACGTCGATCGACCGACCGAACGGACAAACGTCGCGCACTTTGCCGGGAGAGATTGTTCGCGATATGTGACTCAGCAATCGCGCTTCGACGATGTCGCGCGATTGCCGAGTCGCTCGCCAGGGCCGCGCCGTCGCCGCGAATTTCCCCGCGCGTTTCCCGCGATCGCGCGCATCCGACGATTATTATCGTTCTGTGCGTTTATTGTGTACAGCGGCAACGCGACTCTCATCGTGTTTGATTCCGTTATCGTTGCCGATAACGATTTCTCACGTATGCGATACGCTAATAGCTCAAGGCGCGAGTAGGAAAACAAAATTCGCGGAAAGAATTACGAAATTTATCTGTGTTAGCGCGTCACCTCGAATACGTCAATGCGCGCCTGTTTATTCGTGCAATTCTCGCGAGAAACCGATTTTGCGCTCTTTTCACGTCTCTTTCAAATAGACTCTGATTATCTGTTTTCAATCCGCTGTAATGTATAATCAAGTAAGGGTCGCGCAAAGATGCAAAATCACGATGTCGATAATGAGTTTCAGCAAGCGGATAATTGAAAATACTGCGTCGTAATATTCGTGCCTGTTTATATAACGTAGTAACGTGATTATTCAAATCTAATCAAATCGGAAAATCAAATTAAATACGAATCTCTGTAATTTGAATTTAAATTATTTAAAAATTTTGAGAAGATTCGAATACAAATCGTGTATATTAACAATTTTACAAAATTATATTTCATTGTTTTTACGCTGAACATAACTTCATAATATTTGTGTTATTAATTGAAATTTATTAATGATTAGTTTCAATTCTATTGAATAAAATTCTATTCCATTGATTTGAATAAAATTTTATCAGTTTGATTCGATCCTATGTTAAAAATACTTGTTGATTAATATATTTCTAACGATTTGCATCTATGACTATATTTATATTATTATAATTGCAAAATAATTTGTAGCATGCTTTTTATAATATGTTCTGCAAAGTCTGCTGTAAAACTTTCAAGAATATATTCTAAAAAAAATTTATAATTTATCTTCTCTTCATAGAAATTTAAATTGAGTTAGTTGCGTGATTATTTATCATTGAGAGAACGGCAGAAGAGAATAATATCTTACTACTATACTTTCTCAGTTGATATTAAATGGAATCTTATAACGGAATCTCTGATTTAACTTTAAAATATTATTTTGAAAAAGGAAATATCTTCAGAATCAATGAAAATTGTTTTGATACTCACTTAAGAAATACGCTCCTGAAAATGCAAATGTGATTCATGCATCATTCTATGTTTACAATTCGATTAAAATACACGTATCTACGTATGCGTGCGATGTGTTGCGATACGGAACGCGAGCTAGCACCAACGAATAGACAACACGTGCATTGTTTTAATACGTTCCTACACGCGACTTCGATTCGTTGACGAAAGATGGTCTGTTGGTCCGATTACCAGTCGCAATGCGAAGTGACGCAAGCTCCGACTCTTTGTACTTACGCGCAAATTAGAGATACGCGATAACACGTAACAGTTTCCGCGTCATTTTTTTCGCATAAAAAAATAACTGTAATAATATTCTTTATCTAGACGCGATATTTGTATTTATTTACATTGATCACTGAGTACACTGTCTAATTGTCAGGCATGATAAATCGATTATAGTGACTGTATATCCTTTGTTCTAAAAGACAGCTTTTTATTTCAGCTGTCCTTTATATTTATTTATTTTCTCAAAATTCATTTTTGGGAAATTCTTTTCTAATTAGCTCTAATTAATTCTTTTCTAATAAGTTTCAACATCTAATGTATAAATTTTTTTAATTTTTAATGTATAAATAAAATGTATAAAATATAGATATATATAAATATAATTTGTCTTGTGTTAAATATGTTACGTATTTTTAATTTTTTTAATTAAAACTATTCAAGCTATTTAAACTATTCATCTTATTAAAATTATTCAATTTAGATTCGTTTTTATTGTTTATTATGTCAAACTAGTTTTAAACCATTAGAAGACTACACGATATCTCATTTTGTGCTGATATTACGTAAGAAAATTTCATAATACACAGACTCCTGATAGTCACAAACTGGTTTGGGAACATGTGGGATCAAAACTCTAAAATTTTCAGACTTGTCCCTTATTTTTTCGAAGAAAATAAAATATTATACGATTACCATAGGCATGATGTATCCCAAATCTAATCTCCGAGATTGAAAGTCGCGTGACCAATCGTCTAATATTATACATTCATTCGTAAACTATACACTTGTACACACGCTACTATGTAATTTCTATCCTCTGCGAAACAATTTACTTTCTCCGCGACTGTCATTAAATAAATTCTCTCATCAGAAGCGATTGCCTTATTTTTAATACACTCCACGCGACGCTCGTGTTCGCTTGAGATGAGCGGAGCAGCTTCCGGAGAAGATCCGGAAATCGTCGAGAAGAAAGCTTCGTTGATCTGTCGCTAATAATTTACAAAGTTGGATCACGTTCGTCGTTGTAAATTCGTAGCTCTGATTCGTACGTACGATCTTCGATTGCGATTTCTCCGCAGCAATATATCGCCGATTTTCCATTTCACTCTCTGTCGAATGCGCAACATTCGCAATGACGAACTTCGACCCCGTGTTTGATCACATGTGGCCCTTATTTGCATATCGTAGGTTTTCATGCGTATCCGCATACGTAATCCGCATTTTATAACACGTCTCCACTCTCACCTGATGTATGACCTTCGTCGAAGATGATATTCCGGTTCGTTGCCGGACGATGACAGTCGTACGACAACTTCATCAACGAGGAACGTGCCTTCTTCCTTCGATGGACAATGCTAATATTCGTCTCTGTTGTTTCGAATGCGTTATCGCTAGACCAACATGCGTCATTTCTTGATCGCGAGAAAATGCCATGACACTTTCATCATGACAGTCACTGACCGCGGTTATCTTCATCCGCGCATTCTCCAAGAGCGCTCACCGCACGAATTTCGATCGTAAAAAATTTTTATCTGAGACGACGAGATCTATTTACGCGATTTAGGCAATATCGCTTCGACGTTTCGCAATCGCTGATGTATACTGCCTTTGACATCGTTTACGACACTACGGCATATTCTGGATGTGAAATCACTATTATTAACTACGATTGCCACCGTTGACTCTAAAGTTTATGGAATCGTTGCAGGAAGCTTTCACAAGACTTTCAAATCTCGAGTTCGCGTAACACATTTTGTATAAACACACCGCGAACGCTGTAGTTCGTACGATGAATGATACATCGTTGCTTTGTGTGGTTTCTTCGCAGCGTGTGTTTGAAAATTGTTTTATCTAAACATAAGTTATATCCCGTGTGAATATGTGTATGTGTGCACGTGTGCTCAAGTTTGTCCCCAATTAATCTCGTCTTTCGTTTTGCGTAATATGCATCCGCAATGTCCGTGTACGTTAAATGACGTCTCATTACGGTATGTTGCAACATGAATGCCGACACTAAACGTGTATGCCCGTGTTCCTTCATTCTCTACAGAGTCCGTCCTTCTCAGATGCTTTGTTTTTTTCTAAATCTTATCTTTTATTCTTTTTTTTTATTAAAATGTTTTTTCTTGAACGTCTTCTTCATTATTAAAATTATTAGAGGAAGATTTATTTTTAAATTATTTGATGATAAGACTTTTATGACAAATGTAAGCGTTATCGTATTCTACTGCAAGGAAAATTGTTGAAAATTAAGTTATCAGCCTACTTCGAGTTGCATACAATAGCCTTTATATCTCTCATTCAGAATTTCGCGCGCAAGCTTATTAGCAACAACGTGGCTATTGTTCACTTCCGTTATTGTTTCACTTCCGTTCTAGAGTCAGCGAACACGTGGACCTATCAGTCTATCCAGTGAACGTGACGATTGAATAACAATTGTCTATGATTAATGCATAGTTTCAAATCCATGAATTAAAATTCCATTTTTCAAAATTAAAACTGTTATATTCGTTTGATAAGATCCATTAACATATTCTATTTACAACTGATATGAATTTTTATGCTTGCCAAATATATATAGTATACTCGATTGTATACTCGTATATTGAATATTTAGTTTTTAAATATCTAATTTGATAATTAATATTTATCTATATAAGAAAGAAAAGGGGAAGAAAATGAATTATAAAGATGCTCGTTGAATTTCTTTCTCATAAATAGAAGTTGATCTAGAAATATAAGGAAAAACATATCTATTGTACTTTAAACATATAATATATTCATTTATATGCTTGTACATGTTTTGTATTTTTTTTTTTATACAACAAAATATCTATGACAACAATACAGTTGAGAACGGTATAGAATATATATTGTTATGTTTATTCATTCACATAAATATGAGATGTAAGACAGCCTCGTTCTCTTAAGATGTAATCGTGTCGTGATTGCATAAAATACATAAGTATATACTTCTGATTACTCTGGTATCCAGTCTTTCGTTATATAATTTTTCTTTATCTAATCCTGCATATGGATTTGATATAATAAAAGTCTTCTCACTAAGAAACAGAATCGATATTACCTGCCTCAATGAATTATTTACATAAGATTAACAAACACCGATAAAATATCGTCGAAAATAAAACGTCCAATTGGAGATGGTTATTGGATCTAAATTCGCAATTGTAATCCTCTAATCCATGAACACGCAAGTAACGAAAGTATTACGTATGCATTTACACGAGTACTTTCGGATAGAATTTGCAAGAATGTGGTAAAGTAGGCCAATCGGTTTGCATCTCGCAGAGATCAGCGAGCAGACGCTTCCTTCTCAAAGCGACTACCGCTCGTTAACTCTTTAACAAGAGAGAATATCCGTTAGTGAAAAAATATGCTATTTACACGTAAGATATCTAATTGTGCGTCGATTCATTAATTCGCCGTTTGGAGTGTATCAAAATCTACTTAATGGGACGATGAAAAAATGATTCATGCTGTAATTATTTACAGATTTTTCTCCATGTGCCGGGGAATTGTATGTGTAGGTATTTATATGTGCGTGCTCTCTTCTCGCTTATGGAACCATGTAAATGCGACGAGCGCAGAAAATTATGCGCCATTAAGTGGATCGATTCAATAAAAATGACACTAATAATAGGTATATTAAATATCGAGATAATGCCATTTCGCAATTGGCATCGATAATGGCAAGCTGACAAAATGGCAGTAAGGATTTGTAACAAGAAAATATCGAGGAAATCGTCGTGTCCTGTGTATTCGAGCGTGGCAATGAGTAATAATGTGTTTCATTTAAACGAGTGCTTAAATTTTAATTGTATCTTTACAAGGACACGAGTTTTCAGATCTGATCAACTGATCTGATCTGCTGAGTTCCGGCAGCAACGTGTATGTTTATTTGTGAATATTTAAGAAACGTAATTAAAGAACGCGTGAATCTTTACAGGTAATTTGATATTTTCTGATCAGAGCAGGTATTCGTTTTTGCTTTCCCTGTATAACTGTTAGACACTTTGCAGACCTTCGTACCTTTGCATCCGTGTGCAATCAGTTTTACGCAATAGATACCTAAATACCTAAGCTTTAGTCTCAAAATTGTTAAATGTTAAATTAATCTATATGTTAAAATAATTAACATATAATAAGTTAAATAAGCTTTTAATGTATCTCATTACCCTCTGGTGCTTATTGTCCAAACAGTTAACATTGTATACGCTTGAGAACCGATAAGCAGATCGAAATATAACAAATTTACTTTGAATGTCGATCGCATTGCAAATTTATACGTACGTAAATTCTATTTTAAATTAAGATTTACTTTTGTTAATCGATATTTTCCAAAATCAAGTATACATCAGCATCTAATTCTTCGTAACGTATTCGGCCAAACACGGCACACTGTCTACAATAATACATGCACACCACATATGTATATATATATATATATATATATATAATAACTATAACTTATTAACTTACTTATTAACTTAACTTACTAACTTAACTTACTTAACTACTTAACGTACTTACGTACGTACGTTACGACGTACGTACGTACGTACGACGTACTACGTACCGTACGTACCGTACCGTACCGTACGTACTACTACTACTACTACTAACTACGTACTACTACTACGTACTACTACTACTTACGTACTTACGTTACTTACTTACTTACTTACGTTACTTACTTACTTACTACTCTCTCTCTCTCTCTCTCTCTCTCTCTCTCTCTCTCTCTCTCTCTCTCTCTCTCTCTCTCTCTCTCTCTCTCTCTCTCTCTCTCTCTCTCTCTCTCTCTCTGGACGGTGCTTGTGGCACAGACCTGAATAATCTAGCGCATTATGCCTCTCTTTGCCGTACATTGATATGCTACATAAATGTGTTGGACGATTGCTTATACAATCATGATAATTCTATTATCTCTAATCGTCTGCAATATCGCATTGAAGGTTTTACACGCAGAGACTTATGCATGGGACGTACGTGAATAATATAATCAGCATTTTCTCCGACAAATTTGTCGCAAGCTCGACTCTCCCTGTTAAAGTAATATTGGATGACTCAAGAATGGGGTTTGTATGTGAAAATCACGTGGAGATGATTATCGTGACCTTTTCTTGTTACGATTTTTGTGGCAAACGACAGACTAAAGCTTTCATTGTCCGTAGACGTATGTCATTAAATCTTACTTGTCGAATGTCAGATCAACGACGATACCCTAGGAATGTCTTTGCTCTTGTTATCTCTTTCTACGTACTTAGTGATCCGATTAACACGCACTACGTGTACGTGTGTTAAATAAATACTTTCGAAAGTGCGTATAAATCGGTGTATGTTAGCGGTGTAATGTGTTACTTATAAACGATGTTTTGGTTTTACCTAAGCTCATTAGAGGACTTTTTCCCATAAATCGTGATAACGAATTTTGTACAAGATACGTTTAAGTATTTCTTTCAAACAAAACAATTTGTTCTTATTTGAGAGTTATCCTTTAAATTTTATTTGCCCCACGGAAACGATCCCCTAACGAATCCGAAATAATTAGTTTTTGATCCACAAACTTCTATATCTAGATGATGATTGAGATTCTTTTCGCTTTTTACGAACCTGGAGATCTCTTTTCGTAGGCTGTATCATGTATTTTTTAAATGTGTACGAATAAGAGTAGTAAAAAAATTATGGCTTAATGCACGTTTCGGTACATTTTGTTCCATTCTCAGCGAGCGGAGGTTAACTCGCAGAATTTATCTCCGTGAAATATTTGGTGAGCCAATTATTCATGCCTTTCGCGTTTATTTTCACCCAGTGGATGTTGAACTTTATCATTTCTAAACTCTGCTGCAGAGTGCGATTACCGCTGCGGACGTCATGCTGTTTGAAGAACTCCGAGACCTAGGAAAAAATTACAAAATATTTTTACCGCTGCATAATTTTAAAAGAAATTGAGCGTAATTATTTTTGAGATTGATCTGACTTTTAAACAAAAAAAAAATAACTTCTTACTTCGCGATAATCATACTCCGTGATGAAGAAGTCAGGAACAACGCTAAGTATGAGATCGCTTATCGAGAGCGATTCGTTTACATACAAGGCTTCAATTTGCGGCCAGTAGGCTTTAATGTGACGCCAAGCGAGATAATGTCCGTGTGGATTGGCAGCAACTGATGCAATGACAGTGTTAATTTCCTGTGCCTTAAGCAAATTGCGGTTCAGCGAGAGCCGAAGATATCGTTTAAGCAGCCAAGGATCCATCGTCGCGCCTAGGGCTTGCAACATTAATAGCTTCTCACTTTGGACTTGCGTTTTAAGATAAACTTGCCAGCAATGCTGCCACTCAGTCTCCTCGCCGAATTTGACACCTACAAACATGTTTGTATTGTACAAAATCTTTGCGCGATTTTCTGATTACATTGGTATTGCATAATCAGCAATTACATAAATATTTCGTATAATAAATAATAATATTTTTTTTACCTGCCATATAGACGATATTCCGTATATTGGGTGCGATGCGTTTGCCTTTCGATATCCAATCTTGAAACAGATTCTTTGCAGACTTTATCACATCATCCATTTCTAATTCGATAGCGGATTTCAATACCACGATTCTTAATAATCTGCATTAAGATTAAGATAAAGTAACTTAGAATAATATCTTCTTTATTGTATTAAATATTCAACAAAGTCTAAACGAAATATTGTAAATGCTATACTAACTTTTTCAAATGAGATCCTTCATCTGCCCAACCAATGTATCGTGTAATGGGACCCAATAGTTGTTTAAAAAATGAGATATATTTTTTGTACGCTGCACTCTCGGCCAGTCTTTTTTTCCAAAAGTTTAGATATCGAAGTGCGGTTTCCCATGGCGCATAATCTTTTTCGTTGACGAGATAAAGCGAAAGTTCCAATGGAATCGAAGCATCTATCTCGCCAGCGTCGCAAAGCGAAAACGCATCGTCGATGAGACTCGCTCGATCTGCCGGACTGAACTTGGTGTGATTCTTCATTAAAGTTTTGATGATTGACATCCACATCTCTTTCGGATAGTTTACCCGATAAAAGCCAGTTTGATTGATGTTGCATTTGATGTATTCAACTTCACTCGATATATCAAAAGTCGCTAAGCGGAACATAAAATGCTTATCTAAATTTTTCGGTCAAGATTTATAGAAAAAAAAATATTATAAACGCATATATCTTGAATAGATATTAAAAATAAGTAAATTTTTAATGTAATTGTTACCATTGGTCATGTTCATCCACACCTCCAAAGGAGATTCCATAAGGTCATCTTTGTCTGTGTAACAATTCAATGGGATATACCATTTGTAGTCGAAGGGTGACTTGGGTTGTGAAATGTTCACTCCATTTTCTCGCGGTGAAGCGAGAAATCTTTTTTGAGTCGCTGTGATAGTACTGTCTTCGCGAATGATGGTGACAACTGGGAAGCCCATTTGTTGGGTCCAAGTGTTCATTATAGTCTGCCAACATATTTAATATTTGGACACACATAGAGAGATGAGAAACACGCGATACAATTATTTTCTTACGCAATATACTTACTTTTACATCAAGCTCCGGACCAACAGATGTATTTTTGGCAGAATGCTTGGTGAAAACTGCCCACAGATCATTGGTCTCCGTATTTCCGTACGCGTGCTGATTCAGATAATCATTTAATCCACGCTTAAAAACACTCTCGCACAAAACACCTTCTAACATGTAAAGGACGGAAGCGCCTTTGAAATAGCTAACCGTATCAAATATACTTTCTATCTCGGTGGGGTTTTCGACGGGCACGCTTACTGGATGACTGTTGGCTAGTGCATCGAGCTCGAGTGCTCGTTGCGTTTTGTGTAATATGAATAAATCCATCATGCCCCATTCGGGCGAGATGTGATTCACGCCTTTATATTCAAAGAAAGTTGCCGCACCTTCATTTAGCCACACGTCATTCCACCATTTCATCGTGACGAGATTGCCGAACCATTGATGCGCCAATTCATGAGCCATGATAACGGCTATATATTCCTGTATTTCGGTAGACGTTTCTTTCGTATCATACATTAACAGTGATTCGCGAAAAGTAATTAGGCCCCAATTTTCCATAGCGACGGATTCGAAATCAGGAATCGCTATCAGATCTAAACGCAGAAAAATGTATCTCGTAAGTATTTACATATTAAAAAGATATTACACAGATGACTGTTTTAGCCGTAAAGAGTGTATACCTTGCTTTGGCAAAGGATAAGGTATGCCGAAGAAAGATTCAAAGTAGTCCATAATACGAGCTGCAGTAGTCATGGCATACTTTGTTTGCGGAAGCATGTGCGACGCGGCATAAACGCTTACAGACGTATTTCTCTTTGTTAGTTCAAAAACTCGTTTAAAGTCGCATACCACAAAAGCCACCAAGTACGTCGACATATCTACGGACTCTTGAAAGTCATCACGTAACTGAAAAGCAACATTATTCTGGATCAGGTTGATATAAATGCGGACACTCGCAGGCAATGTCGTAATCGCAATAATATGATATCACTTGTCGGCATTTCACGATCAGCATAGTGAAAAAAATCGATGACTTTCAAGATGCTGATCGCGAAGCTTTTATATAAAATTCAATTTATTATAGAAGCCCATACTTACGAGATTTGTGCCCAAGTAAAATCCAGCCTCCTCGGTATTTATCACGGGCATATTGCATAATGCAATATGGAATCTATCTCTATACATCGATATCTTAAATTTAGCTTTAAATTGTGGTTCATCGAAACATGGAAAGGCCATGCGCGCGTATGTTGGTTCGAAGTGAGTTGTGGCCAAATACCTGAAAAGATAAAAGAAAAGATTTAAAAACTCGATCTTATTAGCAATGGCTGAAGCGTTTATTTGTTATAGTATCAGAATAATTATCTTCAGAATTACCTATGTTCTCCCTCAGGAGTGACATAACTACTAAAATAGAATCCCTTAAGTTCAGTAGAATTTAATGTTGAATTAAAACTTAAGAATAACGTGTAATTATTCTTTTTTCGAAACGATTTGTCCTCCAATTCTAGATATAGCTGTTCACGCTTTGGATACTCGAGCAACTTGGCAATTTTCAGCTCTTCTTGACCATCTTTAACTATCTGAAAATCAATTCTCAAAAATTAAAGCAAAAATGATTGGCACATGAAATAATAGTGATCATAGCATTTTAAATTTACCTGCTCTTTTATTGTCAAGTTTTTACTATGGAAGACGATAAATTTGGTCTCTTCATCGACGTAAAATTCGATTGTAACTCGTCCTACAAATAAGAATAAACAATAAATAGTAGCATAGACAAAAAAGAGTGAATATTAGATTTTTTTATATAAATTATATAACCTACCTCTAAATTCTAAGGTAGTGAGATTTGGATGCATGGTAATATTGTATCTAGTAGGATGTGCGAAGGCAGGTAATCTTATGTTATCCCATGGAAATACCTGTAAGATCTCTCATTGTATTGGTAATTTTAACTGTTATTATAAAATAAAGATAATCAATAATATATGTATAATAATATATGTAATATGTGTCTGCTATCATAATTTCATATATATATTAAGAATTGCATATGATTGATTTTCCTTTATACTATAATTCCTTTATTTTAATTATATTATAATGCAAATTCCTAATTTCTATTGTTGTCAAGTAATTAGATTTTAATGTAATATTACTAAAAATATAACTAAATATAAATAGATTTTAATATAATACTAAACATAAAACTTATTTATTAATTATATGTAATATAAAAAAATATAATATGTATACATTCTTTAATTAAATAAGTATTTTTATAGAAATCAAAACAATTTTTTAACAGCGAATAAAATATGAATGCAATTCTTTGCGTCTTTAACATTATTAATTTTTTTATATTTTTTTACATGACATTCATTTAATGTATATACCTCTCCATTCTCCATTCGAGGAACAGCATTCTTTTCATCATCTGCCGTCTTATTCGAATCTTCTTCAACACAAATACAGCCTAAAAAAAGAAATAGCATATGTTTAATACAAGAGCCAAAATGAAAATGACAAATGTGGTTTTTATGCAGAAATAAAATTTTTGATGATTAAATATGCAATTCTTAATATGTAATGTTTAAGAATAACACTCATTCAAAATAGATATATGACATTTAAATACCATTTCGCAAAGGCGCCAAGGCGATGATGAGTGATGTAACGAGAAGTACCATACAACAGATACAAAGTACGCAATAAGTCTTTCTCTCAGAACATCTAACAACTTCATTTGCACGCTCATAAAAATTACGTCTGTGCAATCCCGCGTTACTGTCTCCTGGAACAAAGAATTTCCTGCAGGAAGGTTCAACACTTCAACATTATATAATTTTGCATAAATTTTATCGTAAATTTTACCGTAATTATTGCGTAATTTATAGTTAATTGATATAAATGATTTTAACTGAGAATTAATATATTAGTATAATTGTAACTTTCATAAATAGCTATATATAATCTAATCAAACTCTATTGTCTCACTCATCTCACTTCCACACGTGTAGCAAATCAAGATAATCTATAATCTAAAATAAAGATAAGTAATTTGTAATACAGTTAATATATATTTAAGTTTTTACTGTTTTGTGTGCATATAAATATAATTATAGCTTTATATATTCGGCTTAAATTAATTTATCATATTAAAAATTATTAAACGAGATGTATATATTGTATATATAATATATAATAATTATATATCCAATATTTTGATGTATGTATAATAAAGTTTGTTCTCTTTATGGATATGGTCTTGACCCGGATTTCGGACTACAGAAGAAATTAGTACGCTTGGCGAAAAATAGATTGGTAATGTTCATGATGTATTATATTTTTATATTTAGGGTGATATTTTCATTTTACACATACGTATTAAAATTAATTAAAATTTAACAAATG